GATATAAAATTCATTTTGTCTTCTATTTGAAATTATAGGGGTACCCCCGGGCAAAATATTATTTCGAATCTTGTACATCTTTATTTTTGAAATCTTAAATGAGAACTATTGGTTATGGTGTCAGGCGACTCAACATTTGAAATCATCAGCATTAATAGAGCCAGCATTTGCTGCTTTTATGATCCAGTCATTGATAGCTCCCTTCATAGCTGATTGTCGACCTAATGCTGTGAATCGCCCAACGATTCCTTGACCCTTCGTCGAGCACTGGAACTTGGCATTCCATTTCCATTTCAAACCATAGAAGCGACCCTTTAAATTGCCCTTACATTCATTACCACACACATTGATCATTGTGTCTTCGCCCCATTGATGAATTTTCCAAACAGAATTAGCTAAAGCTATCGCACAGCCCAAAATATTGCCAGAAATTAAACCACCGATGCATGCTTGTGTGGGAAATTCAAATTTGGTTTTGCTTGCAGCAATACCCACGCGAAGAAAAGCCAGAAAAACAATGAGAATGACAGATGTATGCATCTTTTGATAGAAAGTCTAAAAAGATCGAAGTCGTTACTTATGACGAACGGCACTTTTTCTCATGCAGTACAATTAATTCGAGAAATTTATGAATCACTCATTAGATCTTTCAGAACAGTAACTATTTTCAGTCAAAGAAAGGTAATTATGAAAGTTTTTGACATTGCTGTGACAGTGTAAATCGAATCGTGCAATTTGTATTAATCATAAAAAGAGAGGAAGCAATCGTAATTACCTTAGCAAGACTTTCGATGATTGGTGAAGCAAGTGAAATGATATGAGCAACACTGATTCCGTTGTATTATATGCCCTACTATGATTAACTGGACGATCTTTTTTGCGCACTTATCGTGCAAAATCGGAACTAAAAATTATTTTGTTCTAAGATGGCGTCACTTAAGTCTTATTCTCAAAATGCGTAAAATAAAATATTGTTTGTCAATATTTGTACGCCTTGTATAAGTGATTCAATCGAAATTTGATTGTTTTGATTGGAATTAATTAAGATCCTGTGTATGATTGTGGATTAGAGATCGAAACGAGTAAGAATCTGGTTATTTTCTTTTATTCATCAAAATCAAGACAGCCGATCTCCAAGATAATGTATAACAGAATAAAAATAGTCCGAATGTTTTCGACTGTAAAATCGAACCAGCATGTTCTGTTAGCATTTAAAATTTCTCACAGAACTATCTAGAGATCTATCTGAATTGTAGTATTTAAGCGATTCATAATGCCTATCTTTGTTATACAAGTTGAAAAACAATGCTGTTGAGATGATTGCTTGTATATGCGCTACGAATAATTTATCGGTCATATCATGTAACAAATCATAATAATAATTATATGGATTAAGAAATTAAAATCAAAACATTTCAGTCCTTTATGCCAGCATTTGTAAATATTTTACTCGTGTCATAACTTGAAAAATAGTGTTATTATTAAATCACGTGATGCAAATTATAATCTTGATCTCAAATTACTAAAACATATTCAAAGTATATTATTCAGATTCAAACAATAGTGTAATTACGTGTCAGAGTGAAGATACAGAGACCATCCTCATTCTCAAGACATCAATAAATATTTTATTCCAATTAAGTCTTTTAATTACTTAATAAGAAAAAAGTATCTATATTATAAGAACGCAATAAAAACGAAATCAACATGACTTCCTATGTCTCATATTGCAAAATATTTTCTTGTCAATTGACTTGAGCTTAATTCGCAGGTTTGAAGCAATGTAATATGTATAGCTTGATTTAACATAAGATATCACCGCCTTTGAATAAGCCTAATGTCAAACATCATGTATTATTTAGGTCAGGTTTTTTTTTTGTTTATGTATACATCATTTTCAATAAATAAAAAAATGATTTAACATCAATACATTGTTTTTCTTTAATTTATTATCAAAAATCTAACGAGTAACAGACATGAGTAAATCATACTCTTTAAACAATGGCATATTCTTTTTACGTTCAATTTTTTCTAATGTTCTTCCATACCATTCCCTTGGCCAATTATCAAAAACAATATCTTTAAATAATGTTGTCATCATAGCATAACGACGATTAAATGTTGTTGTATCATGATTAATTTTAGCCCATCGATGATGTTCACGACAATCTTGTTTTTCAAGTTTAACAACTTCATAAAGATTACGTATAAATTTTTTATAACGTTCATCTAAATTTGTTATATCTTCAACATATGGTGTTAAATTCCAATCAGGTTCCATTGTTGGTTCATTTAATATAAAACGTAATAATTGACGAAGAACATCATCATTAAAATTAATTAATTCACCATTTTCTATTCGATCATAAAGACTATTTTGAAAAAAATAAAAATAAAATATCAAAATAAATTTAATATTGAAAGACATTCTTACTTCATCAATGGTGATACCCAACATATATTTGATGTTGTTTGAGCATCATGTGGTTTAAAATGTGCTATAGTATTCAATTGATAAACACCAAATATCCATTGACGACGATTACTAATTATTGTTTGAGCTATTAAAGGATATGTTGGTTCTCTCCACATTGAAAAACCAAGATAATAAGCTTGTGCTAAAAGTTCAGAATGACCAGCATTAACTATCCAAGACATAAGACTAGGTAATAATTCATCTTCATTAAAATAACTATCATATTGATAGATTGAATCCATTGAATAGATTGATAGAAGATTAAAATCATGTCCTTCACCATGCCAATGACCTTTTGAAAAAAAAAAAAAGAAGCCAAATAAAAATTAAAGGCGATTATAAGTTTCACGGTGATATCCGACACCATAACAAGAAGTACATCTAGTGACCAAAAATGACTTCCTCTATCTAATAGTACATTTTTTGCCAAGTTCTATGGCGTAAGATCTATTAACTTTTTAGTTGTACGAAATAGAGAGCTTCACAAGATATAGACTATTCGATAGAAGAATTCTTTCTTTACAAACTTGCATATATTTCGTTCGTGAGTCAAAAGATTATGATCATTTTGAAAAGTTTTGATTTAATTTTAATTACCTGGTATTTGCATTGGTAAATATCGATCTGTAAAGACTTTAAAAGCTGGTGGATGAAATGAACATATAGGGACAGGTGTTTGACATAAACTACTATTAGGATCAACAATCTATACAATAGAAGATTATTTAAAGAGAAATAAAAAATCAAATAATTCAATTTACACTTCTTAATGGTCTTGAAGTTTTAACTTGAACAGCTGCTTTATCACGAAATTGAAAACTAGTTGTATTCTGATCATGATGCCATTTAGCACGATCATATTTTTGTCCATTAAGATTTAAACTCCACCATGCTTCAACGGGTACATCCGATCCAATCTAAAGAAGAATAAAAAATCAAATAATATTTCAATTTGAACAAGCAACAATGATTGAAATAACTTTTAACAAATAAAGAAAAAATAATATTGAAGTTCGATTTTTACATTAAACTATAGGATATAGATCCATGTTTTTGTTAATTCAAATCCTTAGTTTTCTAGATCTGACAGTCAAGTTCAAGACAAAAGTAACTGACTCCCTATGAAACGGCACTATGCTTTATGATATCGATCTGATATTTTGATTGCATGCATATGACAAAGAATTCGTCCTTTATTGGTTCATATGTACAGAAGTTATAACTCAGACATCACCTTATTTCAGCTATGTTAATGTAAAATTTTTGAAGTATTATCTTCTTATTAAGAATGTCTTTTGAGAAGCAAATACTAGTGTTTAGTAAGATGGATCTTTTCCGTGATGAGTCGCAGAACTGAATAAAATTGAGCTAACGTTATTACATGGATTCACTATCTCAGAGTGTGCTAAGTATTCACATGTGGAGTGATTCGCATAAGCTTTAGTAATAATAAAGTAGAGAAATATTAAGTAAACTGAATAGGTTAGTAAAACTGCAATGATGAATAAAAGCAATCTCATTTAAAAAATAAATAAAAATTTTCATTTACTAACAAGTGTTTTTCTTAAGTATGGTTTATGTTCAGCAAGAACATTAACAATAGTTCGAATCATATTTGTTAAAACATTTGTTGTTTTTTGTTGATCAATTTTAAGTTGTTTTTCATTTACAATTGATCGTACTTTATAATCACCTTTATCATACATATCTTCTAAAGGTATATCATCTTTTTGTGCATATTCATTTGTTAATATTCGATCAATTAATATTGGTTTAACATAATTTAAAAGACTTTCAACATCCATTTGTTCATAAAATTTTGGTAATTCATCAGTTACATGGGTTCGTGTGATATGTTTATAAAATGGTAAACTACGTGGTGAACGTGGCCGACCAGTAAGCATCCATATTAATTTCGAATTGATTTGTTCAACATCTAATTTATCATAATAACACATCATATTTTGATAGGCCATTATTGTTAAACGTTCTTTAACACTTTTTAAATGTCTATAATGTTTTTCTCCTAGTTCAAAATGCATCCAAGCTTTTTTTGGATCCATTGAACCCCAAGAACCTAGCAATTATATATATATATGTAAACAGAAACTCATTAGAAAAAAATCTAAAAGAAAAACCTGGTGGATATTTTGGTTGAATAGGTGGATACAATGGATGATCAGCATATTCATCTGGAAGATTATATGATGTTTGATATTGTACACCATGTGGAATATGAACACCTGGATGATTTAAACGATGTTTATATCGACATGATGTTAAACGATACCATATTAACGTAGTAGATGTGCGATAAAGAATAACCATGGTTAATTAAAAAAATTATATGTCAATAAATTCTTTGAATTGATACATCTGAAAACAAAAGAAACACAATTTTTTTTATGTTGTTTTTCTATATGATATCACAAGAATATCAATAAAAAATAACAAATTTATTTCTTTTTCTATTTTTATTTTGAACGAATCAAAACATTTAACAAAGCAACAAAAAGAAAAATCATTATTTTGGTCGATAATTTTCTCTACAAATAGAAAAATAAAAATTATTAAAAAAAAATAAAATTTTTGCTTTTTTTTTTTAATTCATACCCAACTTCTCGTACGGATCGTTTTTCGTATTTTTTCATTTTTGTTTTTGTTGGTCTATAAAAATTGAAATAAATAAAAAGAAAAACAAAATATATTCAAATATTCTATACTTTGCTCGAATACGTGTTTCAATAATATTTCGTTTTTGTAATGATTTAAATCGATCATGAAGTAAATTACCTTCAGTCTAATGAAAAAGAAAAAAAATTTAATTTCAATGAAACAAAAAAAAAAATATGAAATTTTATTTTTATTTATTTACTTTCATTGTTCGTAAATTTCCAGTAATTTCATCAGATAAATTTAACTCCAAATCAGCTTCTTCAAATTTATATCTACCAAATTTTTTCGTACCATATTTTTCACGATTTTCATAATCAATCTTTCGTTTATCTTGTCGTTGTTTATGTTTAACATCTTCAGTATTTATTTCTTTTCGAATAGATTTTATTCTAAACAAAAACAAAAAAGAAAAATACATTATAAGATAATTTATTTTAATTACTAACCGAAATAATTTATTATCTTGAATACGTTTTTCTTTAGTTGCTTTAGCTAATGCTTGTTTTTTCTTATGAAGTTTTTCTTTATTTCGTTGTTGAACAGTTTTGGTTTCAACTTTAACTGGTTTACCAACACTAACAGAACTCAATGGATTCGTTTCTGATATTTGTTCATGTTCAATATTATTATCAAATAAACCTGATGACATTTCTTTTAACCATGATTGCTAAATTAAAATAATATAATATTCAATAATTTTTGTTACAATAATTAAATTACAGATGTCTCGAGCAGATCTGTGATAAAATCAAGAAGAAATAAGCTAAGAGAAATGTATTTTTATCCCCAAAGGGTTCGTATCTACTCATAGACAAAATAGATCGATCCTCATTGTTTGAAATATAGAATAAATAAGTTTTCAAATGAGTCTGATGTCATCTGATTGGAGTTTTTCAATAAAATGCTATATCAAACTTTGTAATATCTCCTTTCGTCTAATACCAATATTGAAAAAAAATTTTCTTATATTTATATTTCAAGATAGAATATATTAGAAAGTCGATTTTAAAAGTAAGTCATGCTATTTTGTTGAACAACTTACTAAATATAGTCATAATAATACTGTTAATCCTCACAGAATGTAAACTTCAATTTTATTAGAATTAAATAGTCATATCTTTCTAGAAATAGTTTGATATTTGACAGCTTCATATTTATGAAAAATATTTGTTTCAATCATTAAATTGATTTTGTTTTATTCAATCTATTTAAGTTAATGAAGTTTCCGTTTTTGGTCACATAAACTGATATGACATTATTACAAACCTAATGGTAAAATTATGTAAGACAATCATATATCTAGTCCATTTGACAAGAGCCGATATTTGCAAAAAGTGATAGAAATGTATGGATGTTTTTAATAACGAGCCTCGTTGTCAAATGATACTATTCAATTTTTGCATGAAACTAGTTTTTTGGAGATGACGGCGAAGGCATATACACGGTGTTCATCTGTAAAGCTCAGTGAAACTAGGCGAATTCTAAAAAATATTCGTTCTCATAAGAAATTCTTTTGTAGTTCTTATTATTTTACTGGTTGTTTTTTTACCTATGATCAACTACCAGTAGAAAAATAAAATGAAAGAATATGAACTCAAAACTTTATCCATAAACAGGTCACACAATCTAAAAATTTTGAATAAAATATCATTTTTATAGAAAGACGAGAAAAAACAAAATCAAATCGTTTTCATCATTCTATATCTCTAGAAGAGATCATCTATTTTAATTATCGTTTTTATAACTAATCAGAAGTCGAAAAGACCAATAAAATAGTCATAATTTGAGAAAAAATTCTTATGAGAACTTCTAATTTCATCGAATTCTACAGATACGCTCGATCAATGATTAACACAAAAAAAAAACAACAAGACCTAATCAACTAGAGATATATTTTGATAGATCTCACAAATAAATTCTTCCTATGAAAAATATATGAATTTGTTTTATGAACTCCATCCAATAAACATAAATAATGAAGAAACCAAAAATAATTAATTTTACTCATAAGTATCAAACTAATAATTCAAATTCATCAGGTTCGAAAATTTTACACACAATCAGGTAGTCGAGTTTTATACAACAATAACTCTTTCAATCAATAGTACATACTTTAATCGGTTCTGCTGCATTTTGTGTTAATAATGTTGGTAAATTTTTTTGTAATTTTAATTCTTTACGTTCTTTTTCAAGTTCAACATCAACAGCTTTTCGAAGTAAATTCTAATTGAATGGTAAAAACAAAAAAAAAGAATTTATTCATTAATAAATATGAATATAATCGTTTTTTTTCTGTTTTACTTGATGATCATCATAAGTAGGATTATATGATGTACCAGGTAATGGTTTATCAATAGCTGGTAATTTTGATGGTTTTTTAATAATATGATTTGGAACTTTCCAATCATATGTTTGATGAACTTGATCTAAATATGAAGCTAATTCAGGACCAATAAATGATTGAACTTTTTCTATAAAAATTATCCTAATAAAAATATTTATTTTTGATAAATATTTTGTTACGTTTTTTTTTATTTTGTGTATTCCATAAATCATAACTTTGTGAAACATGAGGATCATCAAGTTCTAATTTTTCTACTTTATCTAAAGCATTTTTTTTAAAAGCTTCAGAACGTTGTTTTAATGCAGTTTGATATTTTTTTTTAGTAGCTTGACGTGTTTCAATTATTTTTTGTGATTCAATAAGACGTTTTGTTGATTTTGATGATGGATCTTTTGGTTGACGTGAACTAAAATAAACAATATATTTTTTTTTTCTCGTGTTCAATATTTAAAATAAACATTTATTTATTTTTTTTAAAACTTACTCAATACTTGGTGGTGGTACACTACTATGTGGCTGTAAAAGTTTATATGAATTAAGATTATTTAAATCAAGTGATCGACGTTGTTTAGGTATTGAACGAAGAATAATAGAAGATGATTCCATGTCTTCTGTTGATGGAGATTGTGAACCAAGAGGACGTTCATTATCAATATGATATAAAACATGATCAGGTTGTTCAGATCGTCGTCCACTAAAAATAAAATATTTAACCATTTGAAATACAAAAGATTTCAGATGAAAAATTCGATATTTTAATTTAATATGAATACAAATTCTTTTAAGACTTTTATTAGAATTAATGAAAAAAATCTATATGTATTATTTCTTTCAAATGTTAATTATATTTATTTAAAATATACCCTGTCATTTCTTGTACTCGAACATCTTCTAATTGATCTTCAATATCTTTTGTTGAAATTTTTCTCCAATATTTTTTCTTATTTCTTGCCACATGTTTTGCAACTTTGCGTACCATGATTTTAATATCTGAAATAAAAAAAAACAATGTTCTTTTTTATTTTAATTCTCTACACATGTTATTTCTTGTGTTTTGAGTGTTTTTATTGTTTGTGCTAATTTAGTTATAATTTTACACATTTCATTAATACGATTTGGATTTTGAGTTTTTATTAACTATAGAAAATAAAAATTATTTTACAATACTAATCAAAAAATATAACATCAACATATTTTTCTACGATACCAAACATTAAATTCAACAAATACGATAGTTTTCAGCTTTTTAAACTTTTCAAAAATCGTATTTTGGATCTTCTAACCAAGAAATTTTTCCAAAAAAAGGCGAGAGACATACCGTTCGATGCAAAATTTCATTCTGTACAAAATGGCCTACTTAATTTTGACTTTCATGGCTAAGGACAATTTGTAGACTCTTATACAGTTTTCAACTTACTGCGTCTTTTGTAAGCTTCCATGTCGATGTATCGATCTCATTCTTACGTAGAACAATTAGTTATACAGAAAAGACTAACACTTATAAAAATCAAATCGTTCTGACCATGTTAAGGGTCTCAAAATTGGTCGAGAAAAAACTGTGTCACAGTGTTACGTTTGTTTTTTGCATTTTCTATCTAAGTAATAATAGTTTAGAAAAAACATTTTTTAGCGTTTAAAAGCTCTACAAAAGTGGCTCTAGAAGTGTTTCATTTGGAGAAATATTTTCACAAGAAAATGCAGTTTTATTAGCAGCTCTAAAGAAAAAGGATCTTTTTATGGCATAAATAGAGTTTGACAAGCCGCGACAAATGGCGTTTGAACGTTTCTAGCTCTCATAGTTTCAGAGATAAGGCAAAAAAAGTGTGTCAAAAACGTCATAGCGTTACGTTTGGATAAGTTGTAAACAGCATAAAATAAGATTTTGCTTTATGATGCTTATAACTTTTTAAGAGAAAGTCCTTATAAAAAAATATTGTGTTTGGTATCTCTTGGAAATCTACTTTTAAGATTTCGATATAGATAGAAAACTTCATTTAGTTATTTACACTACTATTTAGATTTGAGTTTAATACTTGGTATCGTCGAAAAACAACAACAATTAAATAAAATTTATTTTACTTCATTAACGGCCCATTTAAGTTTATTTTCAAGTCGATTATAATTATTAATATATTCATTTCGTTTTATTGAATGTTTTATATCATCTTTTTTCTTATTTGTTATTACAATTTCTTCTAGAAAAAGAAAAATACATAAGAATGAATATTAAATTTAAAAAAAAAAAGAAACAAAATTTGTTAGCTAACTATTTTCAATAACAATTTCATGACAATCAACACAAAATAATTGATGATCAGGTGTACGAAGAAGTATACACTAATATAAGTATAGATATATTAAATAATAATAAGTTTATAGAGATCATTATTGATTATATACATTACAAATTTGACAAGTATCAAATAACATACAATAACCTTTAAGTAGATATTCACCAAGCTTTTTTGCTAATTCATTTTGATGTAAACGATAATGCTAAAATTATAAATAAATACGATTTATTGGAAAGATTATTTTCTTTTTCAATATCTACTTCTGTAATAATAGGATCTTCTTGTGATATATCATTTATTGATTTAAAATCTTGATTATTATTATTATTTTCTATGTTAGAGTAATTGTTATTCATAATAAATTTGCGAAAGTTAATAAAAAATGGAAATAAATCGAGTTGAATCTAGTTCATTCTACTATTGATTCGTTACGAAAGAGTTTAACTTATCAACATTTTCTTTAATAGATGTCATTAATAATCAGTGTATGCATCAATAAGTCAAACAAATCTTCAGTGATATTATAAAGCAATGCGACTTTATAAAAGAAACTTCCTAATAATGATCATTGTTTATTGACTAAAAATTTTTCAATATTACTTTTGACTTATTGGAAGTAATGAACAATAACATGTCTGTTATCGTGTAATAACATAGTAAAGTTTACAAAGATATATTTGAGTCTGTGAAGATCTTTTCTTCGCGCAAACTCATCAACCGTTCCTATCCATTCCGATATGTCAAAAGCAAACTTCCAATCAGACGAGATGAACAAATCGTAGACTAAGAGTCATTATGTAGTGTAACGACTTCCTCCAATAACTTAATACTATTCAAATTTTTAGATCAGGACAGTCATACAAGAAATCATTGAAGAAGACTCGAGACTGAATAAGCCATAAGAAGCAAAAGAAAGAGGGTGTGGGTGTAACGATATTTGGATTATTAATATAATTTCTTTTTGATTATTTTCAAGATATTTCTAAATACAATGGTATAGTCTGTCAAAGATATTAATCGTCTGTAGAGTTGATAACAGAATTCAAGGATTACTACGAGATCGATTGAAATCCATCAGTTTAAGTCATGCATGTGGAAAAACTGGAAGCGAGAAATAATTGAAAATTTTGGTGATAGATATAGTTTTCGATAATGGAGATACTCTCTAACTGTTAGAGGTTGTTGATCTCGACAAGAACAAGAATCAATATATTATATATCTTCAAAATATAAATATGTGATCATACTCAACTTATTATTTATGAACATACCGATTGTAAATAATATTGGTTTCACCTTTTCTTCAAATATATATTGAGGGTTAATCGGCAATTCTAATCCAGCTGAATATAGGTGTCCGTTTATTCTCTAAATCTTGAGCAATAAAACATATACTATCACAATCTTCCTACTTTTTAATGTTATCAGTGACCCTAATCGCAAGCTGTAGTCAAGTTTTCGTCTTCAACAGAGAAGAGAAATGCTCTGCAATCAAATACTAGCACTCTTATTTTGTGAAATATCAGTGACAATAGGCGTTGAACTATGATATCATGAAAATGAGATTGGTCTCTTTTTCTTTTCAGCTGAAACAATATGACAGAGACTTTAATTTATGCTTTGCACATGTGTTAAAAACCAAAACAATTCGTGTAAAAATGTTCTCATGTTCAATAGAGCTCGCTTGATCATATTTAATAGTTTACACTTACGAAAATTGGATGAAGGCTTTTTCCTTAGTTCAATTTACCTAAAGAAAGTTTCGATTCGTCAGGAAGAAGAATAGTATGCACAATATGAAGTCATTCACTAATGAGCAGTCAGACATTGACACAATTATCTTTTTCCTCTTTTTGTTCTTCATAATTAGACGTAATTTCTTAAAAGTGACCAGATCAATGATAGGGATTTTACTGTCATTTTTTACTGGTAAAAATCAGGCTTCATTTCACTCAAACTATGCTTTTCTCTCTGTCTGTTCATTATATACATATATATGTATGTGATATGATATTCACGTCGGTCCAAATTGTATCGTTTATGTAGTGACATAAGCTTAAACATGGGAGAGAGAGAAGAAGAAACTCGGTCACTAAATAGTTATATAAGAAGAAAGCGAGAAAGAACATCGGTCACGATTCGATAACATAAGTCGAAACACAATGAGAGAGAAATGATATAAAAAGGTGAATAACAGAAAGCTCTGTCAAGTTAATGATCTACGATGACCCTCTTATCGCTACCAAACGAATTGTTTTCATTGATTTTTCAATATATTCCAACAGTGGATCTTCTTCGTACGTTTGGCTCGCTCAATCATGTTCGATTGACTTCACTGGTCAAATCTTCTATTTCATTATCGGCTACATTGGACTTGACTCATGAACGATTCGGTCTGGAATGGTTCCAAAAATTGTTACCATCGTTCAACTCATTATTTGTGACTGTGCGGATGACTAATGCGCAAATTTTCGAATTGAATTTGCATCTACCTTGTTTACGCAAGCTGGATATTTCTCAGATTTTCTCCATTATTGATATCTCCTATTTACCGACGGGCACATTGCTCGAATTGCTTTCACTTTATTTTGATCCAACTGAACATGATCGAGAGACAGCATTGCATTTCGTACCGCTTCTCAAATCACTTGCCAATATCAACAATAATCTTCGCTCGCTATCAATTACAGGTCGTATACTAAAACCAGCATCTGTGCTCATCTTAGGCAATATTCATAATTTGCGATATCTTAATCTATCTGTTGATTCTCAAGCCTCTTTCGAAATTTTGCTTGCAGTGTTACCACTCACTATTGAAATTTTAACTGTACATATTGGTGACAAATCAAACATCTCACAACTATTCTTGCCTGCTTGGTCACCACAACCTCCTCGATGTCGATTACATGAATTAATATTGATAGCATATGAAATTAATTATCATCATTTGGAGCATACACTTAATCAACGAAGTCATTTGCACGTTCTTTCACTTACTATTTCCATTCGCAAAACGGAATTCATCGATGGTCAACAGTTCTATCAAGGTCTTTTGTGTCATCTACCTAAACTCGTACATTTGGATTTTGCTCTGTCGATAAGAAATGTTCCGGAAAATAGCATCGATCTTGAGACATTCGTATACACATTTCAAGACCAACCAGTTTTGGCTTATTATAATTCATCGTGTTCTATACTAAATGTTTGCTCACATTCTTGTGTATCACTTGATAATGTTTCAATGGCATTTTTCAATCGTCGGAGTAATCTACCGGATTCAGTTGTTCTTTGGCGTGTTCGTTTTCTACGTTTTGTCACCACTGAACCACTTCCGCTCGTGGTACTTCATTTTGTACGATAGATTGCACCTCAAATTCATCATCTAGAGCTCAATGGACATTATTTAAGTAATGAGGAGCGAACATCTTCATTAAAAGAAATTCCATTCGATCACGTGCGCATTGTGAAGTGCAACTGGCTCGATAATCGATCAATTAGTCGCATTTTAGTTCAACTTACACCAAACGTCAAAGAACTGTTTCTTGCTGGTTATCAACATGATTATTCGATCTTAATGGATAATAGCAAACAACTCGATTGCATTCGTCGACAAATACATACTGTGAATGTTCAAGACTATGAGATTTCGGAACGTCAAGCAATTGAAAACAATTTGAAAGAACTGTTTCCTAAAGCACGCATCGTATTTATTTAATGTATGAAACCCCTAGATCGATTCGTTGTCTTTACATCAGCAGAAAATCTGACACATGATAGATTTGCAGATTTATCCAGCTAAGTGCTTTGTTGCTTTATATCAATTAGGAAAGATTTGAAGAACCTCGACGTATAACTTCAAATGTTACTCTTGGTTAATTTCATGATGAGAATTGTTTCATTCACATTTATCAACTGTTTTTTATGAGTTCAGTATAGCAAGTCGTAGAGCAAGCGTAGATAATTTTTTCAATATAAGTTCTATTGTTCAACCTTGCGTAGGAAGAGACAATTTTTCTATCTTATCCTACTGAATGAACATCAATTGAAGTTGTTCTAACAATAATAAATACTTTGTATTTCTTTTCATTCAATAAATATTTGAGTGATTTTATCATTAAAAAAAAGGCAAACCTTTAGTTCAAGCAGCTAAAGAAAAAAAGTATTCAAGATAATAAATTATTTCGCTTAGCGATCACGAACAACAAAAATATCAATAGATTTGAATGAAGACCATTTGAAAACTATAAGAAATATAGAACTTAAAAGAAGAAGGTTCGAACTTTTTAAAGATTTATGGAGCAAATAGCTTGAAAAACTAACGTTTCAAGGGTACAAATATAAATTAATAGACTAACAGTTATTATACAAAATAGTAAAAATCGTGAATCTCTAACTGTTTTCATTTCCAAGTGATTCGAAAAATGGCAATGGCCCTTATACTTTTTAAACAAGCATCAGTACTATTAATCTTTCACGAACTCTGTCTCAATTCAGCACATCTATGAGTTTGTTTTTGCTTTTCCACCAAAGAATAAAAAAGAAATTTTTCAATAGCACATATAACGAGATTTTGATTATTACAGAAGATCGTTTCAAACAATTGTTCATATTGATTTGAAAAGTTGAAGCATATACTTCGACTATTTATGACTGTTGAATGAAGTAGAAAGACGTCTCAACTATAGTTCTGATTGATTGTTGACAGTTCAGGATCTTGAGTTTGAACTCTGAGAACACAATTGTCACAGGTTTTTTTATTCTCACAGAAAGGTTAGTGCGTTTTTTCCTATAGGAGCAATCTGAAATAAGCAAAATATCCCACTACTCTTTTTTTTTTTATAATATATATTTTAACTTTCGAACTAAAAGTTTGCACTTGTCAACTTTTGAGAAAATTTGTTTTTTGAATTCGACAAATGAATACTAGTGTATGTTTGAGAACTAAATGTGTTCAAAAAGAAGAATTCTGTGTGTGTAATTCTATTATGTGATAACTGATAGAAGTTATTGATGCGATCGATTGTGATGAATCTCGCCAAGAGGTAAAGTATTCGAGGCGAATACCTTATCATTTTGAGTGGATGCGAGAGTACTACCAACTATCGTCGTTCGATTCGATCGATTCACTATTTTGAAACATTGACGAAATTCGTAACGAAATAGTTTCGAGACCAAACAATGAATATAGAAGTTGATCTATTATCCATTTCAAAATAGAATGTGCTCCACTGTTTTTTGAATAACTTGAGAATGCAAGCAGCTAGAAATCTGCGGTTTTCGCCAATCGAAAGAGAAGACGAGGGCACGTCTTTTTCTCCAATATTGCATAGGACGAAATCCTTTTAAAACTCATTAT